ATATGTTTGGAAATTTGGTCATGCTGAAATGTGTTCTCCTTTGTTTGCAAAGCCATTTGCCAGGAGTACTCGGAGCACAGGGTGATACTGCTCAGGAACAGGAGCATTTCTGCCTGGACAAGAGAGAGGAGTGAGTAAAAGTCCCAAGGGACCAACAGGAAGCAGAACTGAACACCAACATTTTAGGAAAGAGAAGAACTGCTTGCTTTTTGATTTTTTTCTGGTACATGTAACTAAATAGGGCTGGATACTTCTACCTCCGCTTGATTTGAAGTCAGTGTGACAGCTAGTAGAGTCAGTTGCTGTCTTACATGAATAAAATTAGCAGAATCTGGCCCACAGAATGTTGCCTTTAGAAATTATTAAAAACATACTTGATTCTCTGTGTTGTGTATCCTTTTCCTGCTGTGAGATTATTTGATAATATAATTTACAAAATCCCGTGTAAAAACCCAGAATATTACAAGGTAAATATTCAAAGAGAAAACCTGAAATGTGCCAGGTTCCCTTAAATGTGTTTTGTCCCAATTAAGGGAAGATCTTTTATTGTCTTGTTTTGATTTCAAAGAGGACTTCCCTTCAGTGTTAGATTCTCAGAAATTTTATTTTTTTTTTTTTAAGTAATTAATAATGGAGCAGGCTTTTAGTATCTACCCTGGAAGGTAAAAACCCTTAATCACAGTAACATCATTAGTGCTTTCAAGCATTTAATTTTGATGCTTGACAAAGCGCATAGCCATTGATAAGAACAAATAAGTGTTGTTGTGTGCAATTGAGGGGAAAAAGAAAAGCATGAAAACCCCTAAGCTTCAAGTAATTAAATTTAAATATGTTATTTGAATTTAGCTGAGATAATGTACAAACTGTGGGTATATTTTTCAATCAGTGAAAGACCCCTTGAGTAAACATGATCCATTTAAATTCAAATCATGGGGAGTGGAAAGTAAGCCCTGCTGTGGTTAAGAAGGCATCTTCACTAAAACACTGGGCATTGTGTATCTTTGATATCCGAGTACTCATGTGTTGTAGTTTTATAAAGGGCTGTTTTCACTCATGGATGCCTACATGCCAGAGACTTTATTGCATCTATTTATTTCCTGTTTTTTTTTTCCTTTCCCCCCCTCTCCTAATTTGAACCAGTAATGAAAAACTGACACTCTGTTTCTGCCATCCTTTAAAGTGCCTCAAAACTGTTACAATTCGGCACTTACTAGCCTTGGGATATGGCTTTATGGCATTTGGGTGAAGTTTTTGTAGTACATCTGTGCTCTTTCTCTCTCTGTAGGCCGCAAGCTCAGAACCGCAGTAATAAAACTACTAGTAGGTGTTTAATGGCAGGTTATTGAGGAAGTAGATAAAAGAAAATTGTGACATTCGCATCAGTAGGGAGTGGGGTTTTTAAGGGAGAGGAACTGCTGAGCTTTGAACTAGGGAAGGTTACACTTGGTGCTTTTGTTCAAGGGGACCCCTTTTTAGAGGCCAAAATACCTCGTCATTCTTCCCTGTGAAATGGGCTCTTCTGGTAGAATTGGTGCTTGGTCTGTGCACATGTGGCAGAAGAACTTGCGTTGGAAGCAATGGTGATTGAGAAACAAGTTTTTGCTTAGTGTTTCTTTCCAAATATTGGGGAGTAGGGAGGAGGAAAGTGCAAAAAGTGAAAGAAAAATTGATCTCCCACTCCCTTTCAAAAGTATTATGTGATCTTACCACAAATATCTTAATTCTGCACATTATTTTTTTTTTGGTCAAGCTGTCCTCAGTATATTTTGTGTAGGAATGTGTGTATATAATGAACAGTTAGCCCACGCACATATAAGAAAAGATTGTCTTTTATTCTGCTCATGATCAAAGCATCATTTTACAACCTGTTACATGTTTACCTTCACATCATCCCCAAGAGGCAATTTAAAGGCAAAAGGGAGAAGAACAAAGAATGTAAATATTTTGCAGAAGCTCACCCATCAGGCTGTGACTGCTGCCTGGATTGCCACGATGACCTGGCAGTGGTGATGTCCTCTGTCCTGGACTCTTCTGAGCAGATTCTTATGCCCTTTTGGTAATATATGTCCAAGGAGACCCAGACCTGTTGTTCTTCCAGAAGCCCAGTCTTTCAACTACTCAGGTCAACTGGTGGATCCTGGAAAGCAAGGAGACAAATAAACCTGATTTATAGGGCTATTTGCAGAAATAAGAGAATTGGTAATCGAGGATTTTATCCATGGAGTGGGATAACTGTAGTTCTCCCTGAGGTTACTGAGCCCAGTTCCTCAAGGTCCACAGAGCTGCAGATCACCATCCTATTGCATAGAACCTTAACAGATCTGCGCTGTAGAGATGTCAAAGAGCTCCTGGACAGCCTCTTGCAATTCTGGCATTTCACCCTGTAGTTGGACTTCAGCACTTTTAGGATTTCTGTATAGCATATGGAGAGGCAGGATGTACAGTCAAAACAAAAAACCTCAGAAACAAATTGCTCATCTGCAGAATACAGGACTAAAGAAGAGATTAAAGTTTCAGTAGGATGAATTTGCATATAAAGGACGGGGAGGAAAAAACAGGGCCATTCTTACAACTGTAATCGTAAGGCATAACAAAGGAATCGATATACAAGTCCTCTTTGTGTCCTGGGGACTGGGAGCAGGTTGTTTATTCCAGTATGGTGTAGTGCCTGAGATCAGCTGTCCATTTTTGAGAGACTTGAGAAAGCGCTTGTTAAACTGTATAAAGCTAAGCATCTTTCACAAGAAGGAGTAGTTAATATACATTCTTCTGCTGCAGATAGCCATTTTACAACCGAGAAGAAATGCGTTTTCATACAGCACTTACCAGGCCAATATCGAAAGACTCACTAAATTCCAATATAAATGCCTGCAGAAACGAAATGGGAAACCGAGGAGGTTAAAAAGAGGATAAAGGAAAGAAAGTGAACTTTCTCTCTACGATTCATGAGTTCAGACCCGCATAAGTGACAGATTCTCAGTAAAAAGAATTGCCTGTCTGCCCTGCATGAGGCACTGATTAACTAAGCAGATTTCTCTCCAATTGGTTTATCAGTAATGTCGCATGTGTGTTTTAGGGTAACAAATCGGATTTCTAATTTATTAGCTGAGCAGTATTCTTACTGCAAAGGGAAAGGAAAAAAAAAAAAGCCCGATTCTCTGTTGAGGAACTGTGAGGTTATTAAGCAGGTTCTCAATCATGCCACAGATACAGCCTGATGGAGCACACCTGGATCCTCCCTGTTGGCAGTGTTTATGGTCTCCTCTGTCATCTAGTGTTTGCCTTTGCATGTGAGAGACAGGCAAGGAAAAAGAGAGAAAGGTTCTGGAGGCATTTCTAACAGAGATGCCAAACTGTCAAACAGTAAATCGGGAAGCAGCTCCCTGATGGTTTCACATCAAGAGGAGACACCCTTTTGCTGCTGCGTGGCGTCTACTGGTTATTTTCCCTTCCATCAGAACTGTCTGATATGGTCAAGTAGGTTTGAGGCTTTCAACATTCAATTTTCCTTTCATTTATTGTGACTTTTATTTATTTGTCTTTCTTGGTAGTTTTCAAGGATACATGTTTCAAGGATACTTTTTACTCTCTTGACATTTTCATGGATCGTCATCCCAAAGTTAAGGGTAGAAAAAGAAAGGGAAAAGGGGAAAAAAAGAGCAATGTGGCTACAGATTGAGGGGACAAAAGATGAAATATATTCAATTTAGGAAGACCTCTAATCTCTGGTTATACAGGACAGCTTTGTTAGATAAGATTAAAAATTTCATGAATGTCCCTTTTTATCCCTGGAGACTCCGCCATTTATACCAGCTATTGTCAGCATCAAAAGAGCTTGATAACAGCTGGCTAGAGACGTGACCACACAGCAACACAACAGCAAGAAAGGGGCAGCCGGGTTCATAAATCTTCAGAAAACCCGTTCCCCCAGCGCAGCCATGAATCTGCTGCTATCACAGTCAAAAGGAGAACGCATTGTCCTCCAGCCAGTCAAAACCCTGAACTTCAGCATTAGCGGGGGCTCTATTGAAAGTGTAGGGTGCACAATGAGATGTTTTCCATTATCTTCTTCATTGCAGCCCTTATTACTGCACACAGATAGAGTTTAAAGGATCTTTGAGTTTAGCTTGTTGCTAGGTAAGAGTTTTTCCAAAAATCGCACAGCCCTTACCCTTGGCAGCGTAATCATGCTTTTTCTATTCATCGCATCAATATAGCGCCACATGGGACAGGGTCAGATGATGCCAGTTTGGTACACAATGGGCCAATCTCTGATATCTTCTGGCTGGGAAGAAGCTGTCAAAGCCAGAGTCTGGCCCTGGGGCACTGAGCTTCCCCATTCTCCAGGGACTGCTCACAGACTCGGGCATAAGCAGGGCAAGTTAGGAAGCACAAATTGGCTCAGACTCTTGAAATACAAGTTTGCTGGTTTTCATGGGAGGGTCTAAATTAATATGTGTTCAGCTTTGTTCTTGTCTTACTTAATTCAGTGGCAATATTTTCTCAGCTTTAGAGAAAACCAGATCGGTCCCTCAGGAATTTCATAGGTCCTGTAAAGCAAATAGCTAACGAACTAACATCAGTTAATTTGGGGAGATGGAAGAAGAGAATCACTGTGGGCCGAACCAAAAATACAAGTCTATGCGCTGTGCCTAACAAAGGGCAAAAATAAGGCAGCATGCTTTAGTACCTTAGCCTCTTATGGAGGTTTGTACCTGGGCGTCATGAATGTTGCAGTGTTTAGACAACTGTACTGTTACTTCAAAACCTGCATATCTAGTATTACCCAGAATCCAAGAAAAAGCTTTATTAGAGGATTAAATACAATTTTGTTAGAGAAATCAGGAAAAATACTTAATGCTTCTAACCTCCCCCCTGCCCCCACAAGAAAAACACAGTTTCTGAAAGCGCTCATGTTGTGAAAGCTATGATATAAAATCTATGTTCCTCATTCATACCTAAATTCTTGCTTATATGTATTTTTTTTTTTCTTCTGGCAGCTCCATCCCCAATTGCTTTGATCCAGGCTAAAGAGATAACAAGGCACAGTGTTGCCTTGGCTTGGCTGGAACCTGACAGGCCAAATGGAGTCATCCTGGAATACGAAGTCAAGTACTACGAGAAGGTACTGTTCAGAAATGGACAAGCAAGGAGTTTTGTTTGGGTTTGGGGAGAGCTTTTTACTTCATTCCATTACGTTTTGTTTCCAGATAGGATTCCATCATTTGAAACCAAATAGATTCAGTTTAATAAAATCCAATTAAGGATTTCATGCACTTGAATGGTTACTTGAAAGAATAAGACTCATAGGCTGTTCCAGCTGTATGGTATGAGTTTATTTTGTTATTTTTTTCCTACCTAGGAATGAAGCTTTTGTAGCAAGCATATTTATAATGAGAATCAATAATGTTGGGCAGAAGTGAGACATTAGCTTTACTTCATAGACAGAAGTATAATAATGAAGTATATAACACAGTAATAATAATAAGATCTGTTTGCCAATACCTTCTGCTTAGAGTGATAGTGTGGGCTTTTAATAGAGAATAAGGAAAGAAAATTGCATTCTTCATACTTTCCAAGTTAGAGGGAGATGTTATTCCTACAAATAACTTCTCAAGTATGGAACTATGAAAAGAGCTATTTTCTTTGAAAGTTCTCTACAAAAATGAACAATTACTTGCTCCTGCTTGTGTGCACTCTCTCTCACATGCACATGCATACTTCTAAATTTTTTTTTATAAAGATAATCACTTATTTGCTTCCCTAACACATACAGAAAAAGGCATCTGATTTGCAGGGAAGCTAGATTATTACATTTTCTGATGGATTTTTCCAGCCAAAAATAGAACAGTTTTTAAGATTGGACTTTCTGGAAGACATTTTCTAAGTCATTTCTTTCTTAAAATATTTTTGTCTTTTTTTTTTTTTTTTTATATGGCTCCTGTCTGGTAGGAAGAAAAAGAAAGTGCCAGCATGTGTGAGCAAAATGTTGCTTGTTCATCAAGAGGATCCTATTTGCAGGCTTGGCTATTTTCCAAAGGATTTCATTGTGTGATTTCTTAAATAATCAGTAATATATGAGCATCGTACCTGCCGCCTCATCATCCTTTTTTGGCTTGCTCAGAGCTCTGTGCAGCACGCACTGCTAGGGGTATTGAGCAAGGCTGACAGCAGGAGCCCTTGGGATGTATTTTGAGAATTCCATCGTTGTTACTCATCTTCTTTCATCATGATAGTTTTGGCAAGGAAGTGGGGTTCCATGGTTCACGATTCAGCGAGGCATTTTTACTTGATCACCACTGTGTTCTTTTGTTGTTAGGACCAAAATGAGCGCAGCTATCGCATTGTGAAGACAGCCTCCAGGAATACTGACATCAAAGGCTTGAACCCCCTGACTTCGTATGTATTTCACGTGCGGGCCAGGACAGCAGCAGGATATGGAGACTTCAGTGGACCATTTGAGTTCACAACTAACACAGGTAATGACATGCCCACTGATTTCTTTTTCTTTTCCTGGAGCAAAGACTGCAAACGTAACAGAGCTACTCCCAGAGTGTTGGGAGTTTCCCGTTGGTCGCTTGGACTGTGGCATGTCTCTTCTGGGAAAATGTTCTTCCATGGCCGCGTGACTATTAGCAATGCCATGAATCTGACCCAAGACTTCTATTTGGATATGCTATATTCTAGATTCTAGCAATGAAGATACTTCAGTGTGGCATAAGGAGACACGAACCCCATAAACACTTGGAAGCCGCTGATGCTTGAGGGATTTATGTACCTGTTTTGTTTACTGTCAATGTAGATGTTTGCAAACATTTTTGGAATATCTCATTTGCAGGAGAATAGGACCCTGTTACTCCCCTTTGCGAGCTATTGACATAGATCAGTTAGGTGTCCTACATCAGCTCACATATTTGCACTTTTCCTTAGACAGTCATATAAAGACAGAATATTCAAATTATGTTGTCAGTAGAGCTTATCACTTTGCTCAGCAGAACATTCAAATTTAGCCCCCAAAATGTTTGCTTTCCATCTGCAGGAAGGCAATGTGACCAAGCCTATTTTATTTTGGACATACAGGTCTGCTTAAATCAATTTAAGGTCATGCCAGTTAGTGGCAACATCCTTCAGGATGTTAACAGCTGAAAATAATCACTCCAGCAGGAAGGGGGAAGACATTTGAAAATAACTTACTCTCTTTGTGTCAGTTGGGGAGTGATCATCTGGCCCCACTGAGAGAAAAAGGAGGAGGAAAGAAGAGTGGAAAGCAATTAGAAAGGCAGAAAAATAGCCATTATACCCTCTGAAGGGGAGAAGGAGAGGGAGTCCTTGTTCCCAGTGAACTGAAGTTCCCCAAATCATTATCAGACATCATGTCTTCAGCTAATTAGGGCCCTGTTGGAAAATTGTGTCAAATGACTATATAATAAAGGCCTGAAAGTAGATTTGAGTGCTACTCTAAACTGCCTTCACAAGCCAGAAAGCCTCATTGAGTGCTACCTAGGCTGATTTTTTGAGGGTGTCTGACACTAATGCTCCCTTTTCTGTTTCCAGTTCCTTCCCCCATCATTGGCGATGGTACCAATCCCACAGTGCTTCTTGTTTCAGTGGCTGGCAGTGTTGTTCTTGTGGTCATTCTCATTGCAGCCTTTGTCATCAGCAGGAGGTAAGAACTTAAGCTTCTCTCTCCCCCTCTCTCTTTCATGAGGGAGCTTTTTGTCTCCTCCAAACAAAGCTAAATTCTTTGATTAGCATCATAAACAGTGCATTTGCATTACAAGCCTTCTCCCATGTAGCTTTGATCTTCTCAACATTAGTACCAAGCAGCATGTGATGTAATGGCAATAGTTCTAGCTCTATTTGCCCTTCAAATGCAAAGCTGATTCCAATAACTGGCATTGAGAAGCAAGCCAGCTAGAGATTTGTGGTTAGTGTAATTTGAAGTTAAGTTTAATGGATATGGGTACAGTAGATTTTCTTGGACTGCCTCCTGACAGACAGGGAATAAACAACTGCACTGTTGTGAACTAAGCCATCAGACTGCTATGCTTGTGATTTTTGTGTTAGTTTGTATGAGTCTGCATTAGTCTTTTGAGTTAGTCCTTCCAGTGTGAGTGGATATGACTGTAAAACAGAAGCCACAGTCATTCAGCATCACATGCAGTAACAGAGCAGACTGGATCGATGGTTATTTCATCAGAGCAGGACCATAATCTTCTACCAAGTACTTGTTCATTCTCCCAAATTCAACCCAGGCATCAAGAACAATCCTGCAAATGGGAGGACAGTGTAGCAGAAACACAGTGTGAGTGTTTCTGTCTCCATCTTGGCGTTTGCTCTCATTTAAAAAGATCGGCATGATTTTGCTTCAGCGTAATTCTCAGATAAAACTGGATGTATCATTACTGCATCTGAAGCCTGGGATCTGAGGGATGCACGTTTTGTCAGTCTCTGTTGATCAGTTTAATGGCATCAGCCATAAATGTGCACAAATTCCTCTTGATTTGCTCTCTTGTTTTAAATTGTCTTAAAGAGCAGTTAAGTCACTATGATTGTAATATCTGGAAAGTAGACATGCATTGTTATAGCTTTCTGTGGGTGTTCAACTCAAAGCCTCCATGCTGACAAGAAGAAAGAAGAGCAGAACATGTGAAAATGTAATGCAGAGAGACAGGTTTATTAAAAGCCATTGCAACAGAAAATAGCATCGCTGAGCTTGATGACTTAATCTCCTCTCTGCTTTTATTGGTCACTTTATTATTTAAGGAGGATTGATAGCAGGATACATTGGATTTCTAATTATGAGTCGCCACCTTGGAGAATTGAGCCTGTCGAGCTGCTTTGAGATGATTCCTTCCCCTCCTCCCCTATAAAAAAATGTCGTTTCCCAAGGCTGATAAACACTGCTTGGTGATTGGCCCTCAATGGATCACTTTTTAGAAAATGAAATGTCAACCCCTTGCCCTGATATTGATTCTCTTTAATATCGGCCATAAAGCTGTCAAAGAAAAGGCTGCCTGGAGCCAGGTAGCTGCCAGACTCGCTGACGTGGGTGCGCACTCTGGCGGGTCTTCTCACCATGCAGGCTGGCTGTTCAGCTATCTCTGCCCACAAGTCTTCAACCTGGATAAAGGCAAGACAGAGAGCAAGTGGACAGTAGGGACAAAAGGCTGGTGCAAGCGCTAGTGGTGATGGAGATAAAAGCATCCTGGTGGCCATGGCTTCAGAGACGTTCCATAGCTCTGCACTGGTAGGACTCAGAGAGGCCGTGGAAGGGGAAAGACATAGCAAGATGAATGAAATACTAGGACAGTGAAACTGCTCTGTGCATACTAATGCATGGTGCCTTGCTAATTAATAGCCTTCCTCAATACACAGCTCTCCAGTAGCTGGAAGTAGCTCTCAATAAACAGAATCTACTTTAATATTCACTATTACTCTAACGATTTTAACCACTTTACCAATGTCATTTAGAGGTGTGGGCTTTGGGGATATTTCAGGATGTTCCTATGCCAGCAGAAGTTAATGGCAAAATAATTACACTTTGTTCCAAAATGACTTCAGATGAGAAAAAGCTTTTCTGTCCATACAGTCCCCATGAGGAGGTTTTGTAATCTAGCCATGACCTAAAAGTCCTGTTTGTACAATCAAACCCGTGCTTTGGCCTGCAGACATGGCCTCCCTGCATCCGTGAGCCAAATGTGGGAACTGGGCATGTGCCGTAGGTGCCCACTTTTGAACCCCGGGTTATTTCTACTAATTTAGCATTATTTTTTTTTCAAGTCATTGCTCAAATCCCCAAATTCATCTTTACAACAGAATTTGTCAAAGGACTTTGCCTTCAGGCAGCTCAAGCTGTTTCGTTCTGTCCTGCGACCACGGCGTTTGTGCTAACAAAGAACTGATCTGCCTAAATGTTAGTTTAAACTTACTGAGGTTACGATGAGCATATCCATAGAGCAGAGTGCAGGAGGTAGAGTGTTTCTAAACCCTGCCCTGAAGGAACGCTGAGTGAAATTAGAATATCTCAGATAGACTTGTAAAGGATTTGGGAAAGCGTAAAACAGAAAGAGCAACTGTCTAAAAGGGCTTGGGTGGAGCAAGATGGCCCTACAGAATCCTCTGGGCATCTAAAAGTTTCTGTTGGAAATTCTTCCGATTGATAGATTGATTTATCTTGTGCTCTGTAAACAGCTGAACACATTTGCCCACCTTTTGGTGTTGGACCAGCACGCGCGGCCAGCCTGGTGCCTGAGCACGGCAGCACCCCCAGCCTCTCTTTTGTCTGAGGAGGAGGAGGTGGGAGCAGCCGTGCGGCGCTGGGCCCGTGCTGTTTCACCTCAGTGCGTCCTAATACCCTTCGTTGTTACCTCCTCTTCATCGCCAGCCCCCACCTGTGGATCTGCCTGTGTCTCTGACCCCCGCAGTTTCTGAAAGCTTCTGTGTTCTTTTCCTGAATGCCAGCTATTTAATCACCACTGCCAAAATCCCTGTAATTACGGGGTTCAAATCTGCGACAAAGGCTCCCTTTTGCCACTCAGGTGAGGTGCCCCGAGCGGCAGCTCCAGCCCCGCGTGCCCTGTGGCGTGGGGCTCCCAGGCTGCTCCTGGGGACAATGGCAGGCAGGAGGGTCCTGCCCCCAGCCCAGGGGGGGGCGG